GCGTCGTCTGAGTCTCTGGAATCTTCCAAGGGCTTAGGGTTTACGGAGGTTGTTTTCCCCAATTCAAAACATTTTTTCTTTATGTTATATATTTTATTAAGATATAAGACATCATTTAAATATTATACATTGGTGAATATTATCTTATAATTTGTTTTTAATTACCTAACAGCGTCACACACACTATACACACACCACATTTGTATTCCTTTATTTCACCAAACTTGTTCCTTCTGCGTTGTCTGAGATTTTCCATTAAAGTGAAGAGCTCAATCAACCAACTTTCAACAGAAGACGGACACAAACTTCGGCGATTTTCTCCGGTCGGTAAATTTCCTTGGAGAATTTTACTCAAACGACCGATTTGGGTCCCACCTATTTCACGTGTACCCCAGAAAAAACATAACACTTTTTTTTCATGTGAAAAGACGAAATTACCCTTAATGAATACGCGATTTTTATCCGTTCGAAAACAACTTCGTTATTACGACTTCGTAATTAATTCTAAATATAGTTACAATTGATTCTAAAAAAGGTGGTAAAAAAATCATATGTCTTATTTTAGTGGTATATCAGTTATATGTTAGTCGTAATAAGGTCGCAAAAAATAAAACGAAAAGGGTATTTCGGACTTTTCCAACCGAAAAGTGGGTTAAAATTAAATTTTTTTTTTCCGGTGGTGTACACTGAAATTGCTGCGAGCCAAGTGAATTATTTGAGTAATATTCCCATTTCCTTGTCCGATCTTACTCCTCACCTCACGAAGCGAATCTGTGACATTGATCTCGCGTTTCAATTCTCTGCAACCTCGTCCTTTGACCATTTCCATTTCTTTCGTTCTCAATGAATTTGTGTTCGGGCTGTGATTCCTTTCGCTCTACTCTGTTTTTACTATATAATGTTATTAACAGTGATCAAATGATTATTTGTATTATTTTTATCATTATATTATGATATTTTTATATTAATTTTTTGTATTATATTTAATTTTATCAAATTTATATATAAAGTCTAAAAATTTTATATATACATATATTAATTTATTTAATTTCGCAAAACGGATTATCTTTAAGCTATTTGAAAGAACAATTAACGTCAGTTTGAAACAAACGGAAAGAGTCACTTAAAACAAACCTAATCAAATCTCTCAAGTTGTCCACACCACAAAAAACAAAAAACATTACACAAACCTTTTGTGATCCGGAAAGAACACTAATAATACTTAGTGTTCATCATCGATATCATCTTTGGGGCGGGTAGAGATGGAGTCTCGCCTTGGCCGATGCTTCCTCCACTTTTTCTTCGGCATAGATGTTATCCAAGACGGGACCTCACAGCCCGACGCAGTCATTGCATTGGCTATATTGCGCAGAAAAGGCGTGTCTTCTTCCGTGTAGAGCGTTATGGCTTCTCCGCTTCTTCCCGCTCTCCCAGACCGTCCTGTTCAGGTGAAATCATCGATATCGTTATAGACAGATCATCGTCACAAGATCCGGGTTGGAAAAGAGGGTTATTATAGATATAGAGATGCAGGTTCATAAACAGAAGAGCTGAAGAATTTTGCATACAACTTGGAAGAAGAAGAAGAAGAAGAAGAGTTGGATCAAGTTCAAAAGTAGAGACTTTAAGCTCTGGAAACACATTGTCTCCTTTCAACGCTGTGCCCAGAAAGCTATTGGTTGCTAGGCTGGTAAAGACAAGACATATAGGGTGAAAAGTACATTTGAAAGGAGACAATGTGTTTGAAACAGGACAAACCAAGCAAAGATGTACATAATAAGACACTACTAATTTGTAAAATATGCATTCACTTTGAATTTGACACATTAGGTGTTCGAAAGAGCGACAGTTTAGACACACTTTGGCATGTTTGGGAAGGAATATCGAGGTTACTATATGATATATGTGATTCCAAGAATAAAGAAACGTACCTATTCTGTGGATATAAGCTGAAGCAGAATCCGGAAAATCGTAGTTTATAACGCAGTTGACACCTTTGAAATCCATACCTCTGGCAATCACGTCAGTGGCAATCAGAACCCATGTTTTGCCGGCTCTGAAATTATCGACAGCATTTTCACGCTGCATCCAAAGATTAAGGTTAGTATTTGGAAACCAATGAAAGACAAGAAGCTAATTCCATTCAGAAGTTTCATTATCTCGACTAAGTTACCTCTACTTGAGAGAGATCAGAATGGATGATACCAAATCTGATGTTGTCATATTTCAGTTCGTCGTAGAGTTCCTTTGCTCGTTGCTTGCTTTGCAGGAAGATCAGTACAGGTGGATTCAGACTCTACTGCCAAGTAGAAAAAATCAGTTGCAGAAATGGTAGCTAGAAGTACTGAAACTAATGAGTTGAAGTGGATTATGTTCACTCATAAATCTCCAGCACTTAAAAATCCAGCGCAATACACAAGCCTAGTGTAGTAGCTACATATAAATGCACTTCTCCAAGGCTTGTATGTGAAATGCAAGAAATCTAATTTTCAAAAATGTTGAAATTTGAGGTATTTGAACATGTAAAAGAAAGCATTTTAAGACAACCGACTCACCTCTGCAAAGATTTGACGAAGAGCAAGAAGTTTTCCTTCTTCACTTCCAGCGAAAACCAGCTTTTGCTTAACAGTCTCCGAAGCTGTGTTCCTGAGAATGTGAAAATGTAAGATCCTTTGCCAGAAGTTTCTGAAAAAATTACAGGCTTTAGTGTTGTCCCTCTACTCACTTGCGGCCAATAATCACCCGAACAGCATCGTGCATCTTAGAACATGCAAGCTCCTCGACAAATTCCGGCAGAGTAGCACTGAACATTGAACGTACAATCGAAGGGTTGGAACAGGCCTTAACCACAAAATCAATCTGCTTTACCAAGTCCAGCTCAAACAGCTTGTCAGATTCATCGAGGACAAGATATTCAACCCTGTCATTCAACAAAGACTATAATCAGAATACACATACAAACAGATAAAGGTGTGTACGTGTATGCATAAGTACAGATTTATTTTGCAAGTATCAACAACTAACTTCCATCTTCTGGAACCTGTCATCTCAAATAATTTCATTAAGACATTTGAAGTATGTCGGGACGCACTTGCTTAAGTCAATCTTTTTGGTCTTGATAGCCCTTTGTAACCGCAATGGCGTCGACACTAGAATATCACAGTGAAGCTTTGAGAAATCAGCAGTTTTGACAAGGACTTTGGTCATTATTTTGATTCTAAACTTGCTCCCTTTTGTAAGTTTCTTTCCTTCTCTAGCAGTTTGAGCAGCCAGCTCCCGAGTAGGAGAGAGAATAACGGCTCTTATACCATCGGTTGAAGGGCGCTAAAAAGACAGGGAAATCATAAGCATGATTCGAGAATCAGAATTTATGATAATAATTCAGCTCAAAGCCTCAAAGGAAAACACAACTAATTACCTTAAGATTTATAAGCATTGGACATATGAAAGCAAAGGTTTTCCCTGACCCAGTTGGAGCACAGGCAAAGCATTCACGATCCTGGCAACAAGAACGAAAAACATCAAAACTAGAACCATAAACTCATAAAGAGGTTCACAAATTAAATCCAGATGAGCAAATCTTCCCTTTTTTTACTCTTTTTCTTCAAAGCGATTGTGTATGATAAGAAAGAGAAACAAAGATTCGAGTTAAGAAGAACATACAGATAGGAGGATTGGAATGGCCTGCCTCTGGATTGGAGTTGGCTCTTTGAATCCATGTTCAGCCAAATTCCGCAAGATGTATCGCTTACAACCATACCTGTAAACAAGTAAAGCCTTCATTCCAAAAATTGCACCGGTAAGGCTCAACCAAGAGGAGAGACAAATCTATACGATGAAATGGCAACATAAAAGATGAACGTAGGATGTACGAAGATTTAAACTTATGATTACAGTATATCAACAGAAATAAATAACCAAAGAAAGGAGACACCATCTTCAATGCGTATTCTCAAGGACCAGATTTTACAAACAAACATGTAAAAGAAAGCATTTTAAGACAACCGACTCACCTCTGCAAAGATTTGACGAAGAGCAAGAAGTTTTCCTTCTTCACTTCCAGCGAAAACCAGCTTTTGCTTAACAGTCTCCGAAGCTGTGTTCCTGAGAATGTGAAAATGTAAGATCCTTTGCCAGAAGTTTCTGAAAAAATTACAGGCTTTAGTGTTGTCCCTCTACTCACTTGCGGCCAATAATCACCCGAACAGCATCGTGCATCTTAGAACATGCAAGCTCCTCGACAAATTCCGGCAGAGTAGCACTGAACATTGAACGTACAATCGAAGGGTTGGAACAGGCCTTAACCACAAAATCAATCTGCTTTACCAAGTCCAGCTCAAACAGCTTGTCAGATTCATCGAGGACAAGATATTCAACCCTGTCATTCAACAAAGACTATAATCAGAATACACATACAAACAGATAAAGGTGTGTACGTGTATGCATAAGTACAGATTTATTTTGCAAGTATCAACAACTAACTTCCATCTTCTGGAACCTGTCATCTCAAATAATTTCATTAAGACATTTGAAGTATGTCGGGACGCACTTGCTTAAGTCAATCTTTTTGGTCTTGATAGCCCTTTGTAACCGCAATGGCGTCGACACTAGAATATCACAGTGAAGCTTTGAGAAATCAGCAGTTTTGACAAGGACTTTGGTCATTATTTTGATTCTAAACTTGCTCCCTTTTGTAAGTTTCTTTCCTTCTCTAGCAGTTTGAGCAGCCAGCTCCCGAGTAGGAGAGAGAATAACGGCTCTTATACCATCGGTTGAAGGGCGCTAAAAAGACAGGGAAATCATAAGCATGATTCGAGAATCAGAATTTATGATAATAATTCAGCTCAAAGCCTCAAAGGAAAACACAACTAATTACCTTAAGATTTATAAGCATTGGACATATGAAAGCAAAGGTTTTCCCTGACCCAGTTGGAGCACAGGCAAAGCATTCACGATCCTGGCAACAAGAACGAAAAACATCAAAACTAGAACCATAAACTCATAAAGAGGTTCACAAATTAAATCCAGATGAGCAAATCTTCCCTTTTTTTACTCTTTTTCTTCAAAGCGATTGTGTATGATAAGAAAGAGAAACAAAGATTCGAGTTAAGAAGAACATACAGATAGGAGGATTGGAATGGCCTGCCTCTGGATTGGAGTTGGCTCTTTGAATCCATGTTCAGCCAAATTCCGCAAGATGTATCGCTTACAACCATACCTGTAAACAAGTAAAGCCTTCATTCCAAAAATTGCACCGGTAAGGCTCAACCAAGAGGAGAGACAAATCTATACGATGAAATGGCAACATAAAAGATGAACGTAGGATGTACGAAGATTTAAACTTATGATTACAGTATATCAACAGAAATAAATAACCAAAGAAAGGAGACACCATCTTCAATGCGTATTCTCAAGGACCAGATTTTACAAACAAACGTCAAACAACTTATCCCGAAACCCAAATCAGTACAACTACCCGCCAAAGGAAACCTGATTCCACGCACCTCGATGCTAATTCCATGAAGCTTCTAAGTGGGGACGGAATGTTTCTCCCAGAGACATGAATGTTGTACTTTTTCCGAAACAAAGCATCTCGCTGTCATCAAAGGACAAACAATCTATAAATCTTGTCTCTGACAAAACACATGGACATGATGTTGGTACAGTGACACCAAAAGAAATGAGGGAAAACGGTCTCAACCTCCATTTGACGATAAAATTCCTTCTTTGGGTTATCGGCTATCTCATCCTCCTCTCTCTGCTCTTCATCACCAGCCTTAGCAGATACTTTCTTCGAGCTCTTGAACACTTCAAACCCCTCAACAGTTTCTTTTTACCCACCACCAGAATTGAATCCAAAACATCACATACTGAGTTAGTCAAAATGCTAACCTAGAGAATAACAATCAAACAAACACTGTTCATGTTCCTTTTGTTAACCTGAATGAGCAGATTTCCGTTTCCTCTTCTTTGTTGACACAAGTTTCTTCTCTGGTCGGGGTTCCTCTTCCTCAAAGAAGCTCAGTTCCTTGCTCGATTCATCGTTTTCTTTCCCATCCTGACAATAGGAATACGCCACATATGAACCCAAATCAAGTCAATAGGACAAACACGAAGGTGAAACGGGAGAGAGAGGGATTACCTTAAACCTAGCGAAATCGGAAGCGAACTTCTTCTTATTGAAGCTCGTCCCGGCAAACAGAAAAGAGGCGCTTTTCTCCATCAATGAAGAACCCTAAAAACCGAGGAAGGACGACATGAACACAGATCGAAAATCTAACAGCGCTCCCAATTTCACAAAAACCAGAGAATTAACGTGGGCGATGAAGAAGCCCTATTTACCTCGAAACAATGATCGGGAGAATAAGAAACCTGAAGACCGCAGCAAATTCAGAGAAATCTCTGGCCAAGAAGAGAGGGGCTGCGAACGAGAGAAGAACAGTGAGAAAGAACACAAACCCCGACTAAAACCCTTTTTGGCAAAACACAGATCGTAATAATGTTAGTTATAGTCGGAAAAAAAAAGGTTCCATTAAAAATCCTTCAAACACTTGCTTCGACAAATATTGACAATCAAACACCGTACCATACCCGGTTCAAACCGGTTTAGCGAGTTGGAAATTCTTCCATCCTAATTTTAATTTCATCGAAACATAACCGAAAATTTTTCGGTTCTGTAATTGATGTGGCAAAATTTATTTTTAAAAAGGGTAAAACCTCTAAAAAAACCTCTAAAAAACTCCAACTTGCAAAAATATATACAAATAAACCTTTAAATTAAAAAACTATCATTCAATTCTCGAATTTGTAATTTATCTTTCAAGTTAAAGGTTTATTTGTATATATTTCAGCAAAAGCAAAGGGCCCTTTTTAACAAACACACTTAAGACTCCCAAACAAAAAACACGGCTCGACAACTAACTGAAGATTTTACACCAAATCCGATCAGTATAACCGTCATGACTCAGAGCAATCTATTCATTCAAGCATCTTATCAAATACTTGACGAGTATCTGACAAAATTACTGTTGTTTCGTGGCTCAAAACGCATAACATCAAATTCCCAAATGCAGATACAAAACCAAATTTGCTAGTTTAAATAGCTCGTCGAGCATCAGAAACAAAGAGAATCTACCGAATCATGGAACAATCAATCAATACGAATGACACTTAAATTCAATACAAACATATGGTGAGATCCAAAGCGTTCCGAATGAAAGACGAACCATCTCCAAGATCACAACACAAAACGAAATCCGAAATCCATTCGAGTTTGATCGAAACAACAGACAATAACAGCGCCAAATTAACAGGGAATAAAGAAGATCAAATAGAGAAAGAGAACCATACCCCATGTTGACGAGAGTGAGGGTGCGGCCACAGCGGAGAGAACGCAACGAAGCAGAAATCTGAAGCGGTGACAAAAACCCCAATGGGACAATTATTTATGCAGCACGAGAAAGCCTCGTCGATATAACATGTTATCGGGCCTACTAATGGGCCCAATAGGCTAAGCCCATTTTATTACAGTTGGTGGGTGCTACGTTCGGAACATTTTCTACGCTTGCAAGTACGCCCTGCCCTCTCTTTTGTTTGTTTGGAACGATTAATTCTTGTATTAGTGTATGTATTACTAGTAACGAATAATTGACACATAAGTGTAAAGTGTAATCGAATTGAATTTGATAAACTGATTTCAAACTGAACTAAATAAAATATAAAGGATATGTAAATGTGTCAAATATAATAACGTATTTAAAAACGATAATGATTACAAAATTCGAATTCATTTTTGACTAAAAAATGAAATTAAAATTTTATTTATTAAAAGCAAAATTTGGGTATGAACTTTTCATGTAAATTGAAAAGTTAAGATATTTTTTTAGAATTTTTTTCAAAAAATAACCGAAAAAATTCAAATTGAATTCAAACTAAAGCATGGCACAAACGAGATGAAAGAATACAAGCTCTATAACGAGATTGTGTCACAACTCACAACTACAAGTCATGACATCCGTTCGTAATCGGATCTATCTGCTAGTAAAGAGGCGAGACGGCTAAAAGGCAGAAGCGCTTCCATTGGACCGGCCGAGCATAATATCTTTGGCTTCGTTGATCTTGGACGCGAGGTAATGGCTTCCCCCTGCGTCTGGATGGTTAGCCACCATCACTCTCCTATGCGCTTCCCTCACTTTCTCCCTCGCCGTGCTTTCTCTGTTAAACACCACCGGACAGACGATATTACATTGGACGACCAAGAACGCACTCTTAGGCCACAACAAGAACACGAGCTTCCACCCATTTCAAACCTCACAAAAGACATCCGAGTGATTCAATTTCCGACTGCTGATGAAATATAGTATGCGGGTTTTGAATCCCTCGTATTGTATTCCATGAAAAAAAAGATGAGCAGCAAGTATCAGCCCGCTTTCTGAGATAACGAGCCGAAAGACTAGTAGCTTATCAGTCCAATGTGATTCCAAAATCAAAATTACTTCCCCCATCTCACGCGTCTAGTTGATCAAATCAAGTTTTAGGAAGATTAAGAAGGGGAGATGTATACCTAACTCCAAGAATCAGAGCAGCTTCTCGCCGTGTCATTGTAGATTGGAAGCCGTCGTCGTAAAACCTGCAGATTCTGGGCCTTGGGTCTTGCCTTGAAAGCTTGCCATGCCTCCATTCCATATTTGCCCGCATATGCAGCGGCCACCGCCATGCCTGCTACTATTGGCGCCACCTGATCCAGACAAAGAGATGCCTATAAAACAAAAATCTCAGCAGCAACTTTCTGATATTACACAACACTCTGAACAAATTTTCCAGTAACTCACCACTTGTCCCAATGTTCTGGTACTAGTACTACCATTCAATTCACAGCCTATGAATGAATCCGACAAAAATTCCCCAAAACCAACTAAACTTGATAGATTTCTTGGTTTGTAAGAACTTATTCTATCCATGTTATAGCAATCAATAAAACTTGGGTTGGGACTCTCTTCTCCAGAACGCAGAAAGGAAAACGAAATCAATTAAAGATCAAATTCGAACATTCAGATTCTCTCCCAATCGGTCATCGGGGAGGAAGAAATCCAATCGGAGAAGGAAGGACACGTAGCACTACAGAAATCAATCGCCGACAAAGATCTCTGCAACCCATAATCCTAACATCGTCTATCAAAATCCAAAATCGCCCAATGAAGACGACACAGACCCGAAAAAGCAACCCGCGCACGCAAGAACAAATCACACAAAAGACGAAAAAACGAAGAAGAAGAAGAATAATAGAACACAAACAAACATATAACTTACCATTGTTACCGCAGATCAAGCAACACGACAGGAAAAAACAAAAGGTTGTAGCGGAATGTGAATCTTCATGAACGGAAATCAGATTTTAGATCCCGGATATCCTAAACATACTTTAAGGCTACTTCATGTTGCCAAAGAGACAACAAACTTAACTTCAACGACCGAATTTGCTTAATTTTCGGAATAAAAAAGCAGATGTTGGACCATATCAATAGCAGTAAGGAGTACATTAGGTCACAAGGAAATACCTGATGAGAGTATGCATAAGCCAATGCCCTTTCCCTTCTCATCGCTGCCTCATATCTGCTCAGAATATTGGCCTCGACCTGTTCCTTTGACTGCAAACTATCATCCCAATCATCCCCATTCTGCAGTCACAGCCAAAAAGAGGGGGGGAAAAGTGTAAGCATAAGCCAAAATGATGGACTCCATAGAAATGATTTAAAGTAGCAGTTTAGTTAATTGACCACTGTTTCGAGAGAAAGAAAAGGGAGAGACCCTCAAGTTGGCGAGCTCTATGGCATTCTTCTGAAGGAGTTGCTTCTGGCGAGCCTGGTTCTCTTCTGACATCCTAATTCTCCTTGTTTGGATCTGTGATTGAACACGAGAGAGAGTCTGCATACACCTAAGGGTATTTGCGACTTGTCGTTTCACGACAGGTTCTTCCATCAGTGACTTGAGTCTGACCAGACCCCTCAAGGCCCGCAATGCTCTTCTTGCCTGGAATAGTGAAACCACAGCAGACAACACGGTTGCAAACATAGGAGTTTCTTGATAAAGATACCTTTAGATCCCTAATAAGGAGTGAAAAAATAGCAAAAAGTGTTTGATACTTCCATTGAAAGACTAGAGAACTGATCCAGGAACAGTGAAGACTAGTCAGTGAAAGACTAGAGAACTGATCAATGTTTCATTAACACACTTATCATCGTGTCAGCATTCATTGATAGCACATGACATTAGGAGTAACCAACTTGTCTGCAGAGAAGCTAATACTAAACATAAAAGTGATAAAACATACCAAATAGCCCCTAAATGCTGTCTGAATCATGATAGCTGCTGCTTCATCATTCGACTTCCCAGCAATATGAGCAGGCTTAGCACAATTAATCCCTTTCTGAGGATGCAACAATTAAGGAAATGAAATGAACAGCATAATACACAACGTGAAAATATACCCAGCATACAGCCCTTTTATCCCTTGCCCTTTCCATATTGAATATCCAGCCTGGAACATTCCAGTATAATAACCATACATTTGACCACTTGATTTCACCGGAAGGCTGTTCTTCGTAATATAAGAGCTCCAGGAAGTTTTGTGCCTTGAATTTGCATCCGTTGTTTTATTACTTCACAAGGAACATATACAAAAGAACCAAGTGTATCACCTGGATCAAGTAAAGAAGCAACATAAAACATGAACTCCTTTGACATCTCCATCGATGTAGGAAATCAATTCTGATCGTTCAAAAGCACAAGAAAAAAAATCAATACCCACTTGAGGAAAAGTATCGTCTTTTCTCAACACTCGTTTACGCATTTCTAATAAGTAAATACATGTTCCAATTCACAATCATATACCCTATCGGCACACGATTACATATAATACAATCGACCAGAGTGTTCTCATGGATATCACATGATCAAATCTCAACATTTCGCTCATGAACGCACCGAATAAGCAGAATCATACGGCTACGTTGCAGACACATCAACTTCAAATGGCGACGATTATCTTTCCAAATTCATTTCCCGCCGCGAAAATCAATGCGAAATGAGGGACGGAGAGACAGATCGAAACTCACCGAAGAAGTGATCGTGCGTGGGTTTGGCGTTGACGGTCTGAGCGTCGTCTGTCTCTCTGGAATCTTCCAAGGGCTTAGGGTTTACGGAGGAGGTTGTTTTCCCCAATTCAAACATTTTTTCTTTATATTATATATTTTATTAAGATATAAGACATCATTTAAATATTATACATTGGTGAATATTATCTTATAATTTATTTTTAATTACCTAACAGCGTCACACACACTATACACACACCCCATTTGTATTCCTTTATTTCACCAAACTTGTTCCTTCTGCGTTGTCTGAGATTTTCCATTAAAGTGAAGAGCTCAATCAACCAACTTTCAACAGAAGACGGACACAAACTTCGGCGATTTTCTCCGGTCGGTAAATTTCCTTGTCCGATCTTCCTCCTCACCTCACGAAGCGAATCTGTGATATTGATCTCGCGTTTCATTTCTCTGCAACCTCGTCCTTTGACCATTTCTTTCGTTCTCAATGAATTTGTGTTCGGGCTGTGATTCCTTTCGCTCTACTCTGTATCTGAAAATTTTCTGGAGGATTTCTTTGTGATTTGATCGACCAGTACGCTTTTGATCTGGGTTTCCTTGTGATTTGAGCGGGTTCTTTGTTATTTGATCGACTAGTACGCTTTGGAGTTTTCTATAATATGGATCCACGAGCTGCTTATGTTGACGAACGTGTTTGCTTTACATTTTCTATGAGACCTGTTTAGTTAAGTGTGATTTAATCTCATCTTGGCTTTGATTCAGAGGATTATCATTGATGGTGATGCTGTGTACCTTGTCTGTCTTAATTCGACCAATTCTATGTTATTAGGGTTCTTGTATGTGCACATTTTGTTCCCTTTTTCTTGTTTATTAATATCATTGCATCCAAGATTGTGAAAATGGGTACCTGGTTTTTGCTTATACATAGTGTTTGTTCAAGTGAACATCGTGTCTTAATGGAAGCTTTCATCTTTCATTGTCTGCAGCTCCAAGTTTGATGGAAACATTAACGGGTGCCCGGGTAGTGCCAGTCCAAGCTCCCCGTAGAAAGTTCTCTTCGCATTTTGCAAAATTATCGTCACTAGAGTTGAGGCGGTATCCTTGTAGGGGTCGTGTTATGATTATGAACCCACCCAAATCACTTCGTCCCATAGCTGCTTCGGTTCAGCCACAGGAGTCATCAGCTTTAAGTCACAAAAGCAACACTCTTCCTTCTAAAGGTTCTACATAAATACAGAGTTTTTTTTCGTTTTTCTAGGACCTGTTATTTTCTAAGCTTTGAGCTTTTGAAAATATTTTCTTTTGCTCTAAGCTTTTGTGTTGTTATAGTTTGTGTCTGCATGTTTTGCAGCTAAATTTCTACCATTTCTTGTTGGTTTTCTGCTATTCTAGAGGTCCTTGGTCTTTGGAAAAGTGCTGAGGCAGTCTGCTTCGATGTCGATAGCACGGTTTGTGTGGATGAAGGTATTGACGAACTTGCAGAGTTCTGTGGAGCTGGGACGGCTGTTGCTGAATGGACTGCTAGGTTGGTGGTCCATCTCAACATACAATTATATTCTACAACTCTTATGTTTTTCTAGGTTTATGTCTGAAAATCTTGAAAATTGGTTCTTAGAGCGATGGGTGGATCCGTTCCATTTGAAGAGGCCTTAGCCGCAAGACTCTCTTTGTTCAAGCCTTCTCTATCCGAGGTTCAAGATTTTCTCCAGAAGAGACCCCCAAGGTATTTGTTTTATCTTCATATAACCTTGACTATGTCACTATTTCTGTTCTTAAACTTGATTTTTTGCCCTTTGATTGAAAACACTTTCTTTTCACATAGAAAGATTTGCAAATGCAGTTTAGATCCTTTCTTTTTCTGAAAGAGATTTCTTATGGTTCACCATCGCTGTATCCTTACCGTTAGCCTCTGAATGGAAATTGTATATGCTTCATTTATTCCTCTAGGTCAGATTGCTTCATTATAATGTTTCTCCTTGATTTTGCAGACTATCTCCTGGCATAGAAGAGCTGGTCAAGAAGTTGAGAGCCCATAAAACTGATGTCTATTTGATTTCCGGAGGTTTTCGTCAGATGATCAATGTACGCTCTTTATTCCCCTCGTTTCGTCTTGCACCGGGAAGTATTTTACTACTTCCAATTTTCCTTGCAATAATTTAGGCTGATAGGATCTGTGCATAGGAAAGACATTGTCACAGTGACATCAGTGGCAAGAGTGATACTTGAATCAGACAGCTATTGCCCGAAAGTAATGTCTGGCTAATACATTCATGTTCGTTACTGTTGAGTGTTTGTTCTTCTACTCTGTCTAGTTCGAAACTCAACTATCACAGTGATAGTCTTTCTGATGATGTTTCTTTTTTTATGTAGCCTGTGGCCTCGATTCTTGGGATCCCGGAGGGAAACATCTTTGCCAATAACCTTTTATTCGGAAGCTCTGGCGAGTTCCTGGGCTTTGACGAGAACGAACCCACATCAAGAAGCGGAGGAAAAGCAACGGCGGTCCAACAAATACGCAAGGTTCGTGTAGTGACTTTGATTCTTCATCTATACCTTTCTCGGGTCCAAATACATCTTATGCATGTACCGATACAACTCTTGGTTTTCAGGCTCGTGGTTACAAGGCATTGGCCATGATTGGAGACGGAGCAACCGACCTCGAGGTAAGCTAATTCCGCCTTTCACGCTAGTAGCTACTCTACTAATTCAACTAGATCGAGCGTAATGTGATGCAAACAACGGTTAATGATGGTGATAATCTTGTTAATTCCTGGTCGGAAACGCAGGCACGCAAACCAGGTGGAGCAGACTTGTTCATATGCTACGGAGGAGTCCAGCTTCGTGAAGCAGTTGCAGCCAAAGCAGACTGGTTGGTCTTCGATTTTCAACATCTTATAAGCTCCTTGGATTGAAGCCCTCAAGAGAAGCCAAAATCACTAGAATGGAATCTTTGATTCATATTATTGCCAATAACATTTCGATTTTTATTTAGACAGATTGTTTTGTATGCTTCTGCAAAAACGACTTTGGAATAAGAATGTGGTTTGACAATCACCAATGTGCTTTGCTTCTTGAACGAAACTGTAAAATCATTACACATACATATGATTTGCTGATAACTAAATGCAAGAGAGATGTTTAGAAGCAAGTTATAGTCTTGAAGTGCTTCAGCCAAATGATCAGAACAAAAAGTAAACTATCCTCGTTATCCATCCAAGTTATAAACAGTGGTTCCTGTCATTACCAAAGACAGAATCCCATGTTTTTTTTTTTTGGGAAAACAAATAGAGATCGAACGACCAACTCTCGGAAGAGAAACTAGACAGCATTTGCCCCACAAGTAAAGTTTTTTTTTTGGTGGTGGTAAATGACCTGCCTAATTCATTCATTCATGTTCGTTATTGCGAATGCTCGTTAACCTCATAAGCTTCTCTTCTATCGGGAGCGTGCGTAATTCACCCGAATTCTTTGCCCGTCGAAATCCTGCACAAGTTAGAAACCTCGATAAATTTTCCGGCTGATCAAAAGCCAATCAAAGCATAAGCCATCTCAGGGTTTATCCGAGGCATTTAGATAGTAATTCATCAGAGACTATCTCCTTGAATATGACACCGATCCATATTCAGACCCTCCAAGGCAATACCTATTTCGACTTTACGATTTCGAGAGGGAGAAATAAACCTAGTGCACACTACTAATGCAACAAGAAACTTGTGGTGCGGGAAAGATGGAAAAATGTATCGTATAGGTGTACTCCGTTTCCAGAAATCGACTGTCCATAACGAGACAGATTAGAAGTCGGGGAAAAGAAATTGGATTAACATTGAAACTAGCCATGTTGCCACGCTGCAAGCATCAAAAGAAATTACCCGTCCATCCAATGCTCGTATTGCACGTGAAGCCTCTTTATCCAAATTAAATGTCACAAAACCGAACCCCCTCGGTTTACCAGTCTCACGGTCCTTAATAACATTCGCTGCATTGAGTAAAAATTAAAAAGATCGATAAAACCACGAAATGAGGGATACAAAGATTGATGAGATGTTGATCTCGGATAACTTCATTAAATGAGGAAAGAAGCTAACTTTCGAAGGCTAAAGTTCCGTAACAGCGAAAAAGGAGATCACTACCTTCGACGACATTCCCATATTTACTGAAAGCTTCTTTTAAACCATTATCATCGACGCCGAAAGGGAGACCTGAAACAATAACAAACCCGGCATTCGTAAATCAAACAAAATGGAACCGAAAAAGAAAAATCTTCCAAACAACAGAAACAAAAAAGCTGGGACATACGTCCGACAAAGAGCCTCGGCTGGGATATGCTTTGGAAGCCTAGTAGCAAAGGGTCAGCGGCTCGGGTGCCGCTCTTC